AAGAGCACCAGGGTAGGAATTGCTTCCCAGAATTTACCTAGCACTATCAGATTGATATACCACCAATACGCAGCCTTTCACTCTGACCAGAAAAGGTCAGCCTTAGAAAGGGATGGAGAAGTAAGGAGTTTCAGTCCTCTCTTTCAAATAGTAAGTCATGCCTCTGCATCCCTTTGACATGGCCTCAGCTTTGAAAAAAATCTAGGGCAAGTCCTAATTTTATCTATGAAAAAAAATGTATTCTAAAGTCACTTTATACAGATAAAGCAGAGATGATCCTCTGTCAGAAAAACCCACATGTGGTGTTACATCTTTAACAATCCTGCACATGCATTCATCTGTAAAGTGCCTTGGTAAATTCAGAAGGCAATAAAGGATCAAATCTGCACGGTGAATTTACAACTAATAGCCAAGCAAATTACAAGACCACAGAGGTTTTTTTTTCCTTTGATATGCAACAGCACTTTGGGGAAATTTTCTGAGTTTCTTTTTGATTTATTGTTCTCATTTCTAATAGCATCCTTGGTGCTATCTGCTACACAGCCTCCATGATGCTCAGCATACTAGAAACATCTTAAGATCCCACAGATGTAAAGAAAAATTTGTATCTGCTAAGATTCCCAGGATTGAATTAACTGAGAACAGAATGAAGCAGGACTCTTGAGGAGCAAAAGTTACATTTACAAGGGCTCTCTTGGACCAGAAAAAATTCCTTATCTATAATTCAGTTTCCTTTCCTGTCCCTGCAACAAAATGTTTGGTATATTTTAAGCTTCACCTTTTTTTTTTTCCTTCCCCTTGCCCCCACTTTTTTTTTTTTCCTAAAGAAACAAGCCTTTTCAAATGTTCTGGCTATTTTCTACCTATATGAATCAAACTCGGGGAAGACAAAACTGCCCTTACACATTGTAATATGGTGTTTCTATTACTGCATCTTCTGAGCAGATGCGTAACACCAAAAAGAGAAGCAATTTAAACACCCTTTCTCCCTCTCCATTACTTCCTTAAATTCCAGGTACATCACTGGACTTGGACATTTAAAGTTCAAGCACCCTTCTGCACATCCAATTTTGAATCAAACTGAAGAGAGAAAATATTTCAAGGTGCATATGCTGAAACAGAATTGTACATTTAAAATTCAGCATCAGTTCAAAAGCTTCATCCCCATCACTGAATGAGGATCAATGCACAAAAGTCACAAATGACTCTGCCACCAGACAGCAACTGAAATAAAAATAAAAGCTATGTGCCATCTGTGACAAGCATGGATTCCAGGACTCTGCATAAAATGAAAAGCTGTCCTGCTGTAAACCTAGGACCGTGAACAACAATGCCCGTAATACTTCATTGTAACCAATGACATGGGGACATCTTCGAAGTGTTGCTCAAAAGGCAGGAAGTTTAGTTCTACCTGGATCACAGAGCAATCAACAATGTGTGGTAACTGCAAGCATCCCTCAGCGAGCCCTCACAAGCTTGACTGTCACAGAATCTGGGGCAGGAGTTAAAACTGATTTTGCATAAGCTCATTTAGAACCATGTCAGCTATGTTAAACTCAGATATCGCCTTACTGAAGAAAATCAACCGTATCTGTTTAGAATTTTTATGCAAATATAGGTCTCTGCAGAGATCTCCCTATTTTTAATTAACTTATGGACTGACTTAAGTGAGGCATTAAGCCTCCGAGGGTTTATCCCACCAGCAGGATTGAGGAACTAAACCCATCACATCCATGTTTACAAACAGCTCTCCACCCTCTGACTTACCTTTTCAACATCTGCTTTTGTAACATTGATGTCAGCATCCATTTTCTCAAAATACTGCTGTGCTCGATCAGCTTCTTTGCAGTCACGTTCAAACCGCCTTTTACTCTGAAAAGGAAAAGTAGAAGCCTTCATTATGGGAAAGAAACAGGATATCAAAGCCTACCTAAAATCAACACCTGCCCCTAAACTGATCTGCTGTAACAACCGTCAGAATTCAGGACTCCTTGGTTTACACTGGAATACATTTCCATATTAAAGCACTTCAAAAAACAAAGCTACCAGAAACACATTTTTTGTTCCGTTCTTCAGGCTGCTTGATTCTATTAACATCACTAGTATTTCAATATTTTCCCCTGTTAGCATCTCTTCTGCTCTTGTAGACCAAATCACTCCCTCCCAACACTTAACTCCCTCATTTTTAATAATGCACAACAAGGGAGTTACTAAGATTCATACATTTGCAAGTAGGACTTCTGGTTATTGACATCTCCTTTCTTTATCCTCTCCTCTACTTACAGTCCCACTTTTCATTCATCACATGAATGACAAGTCCAATGTATTTACTTTTGAGAAACAGCACCTTCCTCAAGAGATGGTCCCATTCAATTTATTCTCGCAGTATGAAGCTATTCAGGTTACAGTAGAGTTGTCTGAATAGGACCCTTAGGGATTCTGCATTTCCAGCAATGCTTAGCACACTTTTCAAGTCATATGAAATGAAATGCTACTCATGATAGACACAGATCCCACAGAAAGTTGAATGTACTGTTAAAATAGACTTTCGTGCTACCAGTAGATTTAAGACATAGGAGTTTTAAAAATCCCATTTCTATGGCTTTTATCCATACACCCCTCTTTTTCCAAATATGATGTTTGGAACCATTTCTATAAAAAACAGTATAAAAATGACTTAAATGTCACATCTGAGGAAGTTTCCACTCACTGCTTCAAGTTGTTTCCAGCAAGTTTCAATATGTTGTTGTGCCTTTCTGCCATCATGGAAGTGCTGTGTAGAAAAAGAAAAGAGAAAAAGAAAACATTTTGAACAACAAAAGAACAGTCAGTCAATTATGCTCAAGGAGTTCCAGAAAAAAAAACCCAGAAATTATTCTGACAGCTGTGTTCTGCAAGGCTGGTAAATTGAGCAGGTGTATGATGACTATCTAATGTCTCAGCAGGCTGCAGATGTATATTTGCATCAATTATAGTGGTTAGTAAGACTAAGGCTAATGAATCCCTTTAGCAATTCTACCTTGCATTGTTCACTGTATCTCCTAATTACTGGTTTCCCATACCACAAAATCTGAAGCACTTTTATCTGAAGAGTATTTCTTTGGTTACTGACAGAACACTAGCTCTAAATTAAAATTTCTCTCTACATGGAATTTACCAAGATGCCCTTGATTGGCACATTCTAACAAATGATGTTTGTCCTGATTTTCATTCAGACTCAACATAAAACCCTCTTCTTCCTAGATACTGGCTGCATGTGCAAGGCCAGCTGTTCATTTCTCTTGAGAGGTATTCAATTCTTTGGGTCCCTCCAGAAACCTTCCTCTCTCACATATTGGGGCTGTGTGTGCGTGTGTGCACACGCTAAGGTGTTACAGAAGTTTTAAATATGAGATGTCAGCTACATACTAAATGACAAGGAACTTCTCCTGACATGCCTTTTGGAGCAAGACTCTCAAGTGCAGTTGATTTAAATAACCGTTCTTAGCCCTTACACAACGCTCTTCAGAGAATCTAACATGCTTTAGACATTACCTCCTCCATCTTCCATATGCCACTTTTCCTCAGGATAAGCAATTTGTTCAAGATCACTGCATAAGTCAATGACCCAGCTCTAAATAGGAATGTTAACACAGCCCCCAACTGACCACTAGAACAGGTTACTCGCCTTAAAAACCACCTTGTAAAGTAAATAATACAGCAAACTACAAATAGGAAGAGAGATGCCTTTCTGCTATATTATTTATTTACTGGCAATTAGGATGTTTTACTCAAATACAGGTATGGTTTCATGCAGTAAACTTGAAAAATAAAGCTCTGATGTTGCCAGGTAATCCCACTGCAACTCCATAGAGTTCATGGATTCTCAGGTCTGCACATAGTCAGACATTAAATATATCTTAAGCAATGTGATATCAACAGTCTGTCAGGGTAGAAAAGCTCCAACTTCAGAACAGTAGCCTGCCACAAGCTGCTAAAGTTAGAAAAACGTGCCTGCAAGCACTTTATAATTGGCAGCTGCTTGGTTTCCTGCATCTTCCACTAAAGCAACTGGTATTTTCCTCTGTCAGAGGTGCAGGTTTCTGGAGGAAACGTGCTAGGGACATTTCCTAGCTGCCTTTCTGGCTCCACCAGACATGCCAGTAAAAAGCCCCAAAACTGCAGTTCTCTGTCACGCCATGTCCAATAAACTTGTATTGCCTTAAAAATCAGGACAACCTTCTAACTTGTCTGTGAGAACAGAAGAACACCACACTATCCTGAGTGTTCTGGATGCTACTACCTGCAGTCCCAAACACCGGCTGGTGAGGAGGGATGCTCACCTACAGCCGAACACAGGGGCACTCTATAGCTTTAACTCTCTGGATAGTGTTTATTCTGCACAAAAATTCTCAAAGCAGAGAGAAGCACAGTGTCAGTAATGCTTTTAATCCTGGGCATGTGCCGTGCTCAGCTCTGGCTCTGCTCCTGCCTACGAGGAGGGAGAGCGTGGAGCAGCCAGCCCACGGAAGGGAGCACAGCTGAGCGTCCGGCACTGCTGCAGCGGGGAGACGCTTTCTGCCATGAACCCCAACCATACTTGTGCAGTGCAGACCCCTGCCTACCATGCTAGGCTTCTCCAAAGACTCAGACACCACATAATGACATTTAAAAAAAAAAAAACAGATATAACTAAAACTGCTGGGGTGGCGGGGAAAGGCTCAAAGACTATTTCAGTTCCTTTTGTAGATCCCCATTTCCTTTCAACTCTGCAAGTGACAGATTCTGTATCTTCCTTGCCAGGGAGCTTTGAAATGCTCCTCATTTCAGGCTTGCTTTTGTAATTAAGAGTTTAGGAAAACAGTCGCAAGGAACAACTGTGATTTAACACTACATATTTCAACATTTCGCTAATGAGCATGGAATCAGTGAAAAATCTTTCGACAGTGAAGCTGCAAGTAAAATTACTTGGCTGCCTTCATACTGCATTGCCTGCTGCCACCAGCCCGTGATTGTGTGCTCCCCTCGTCACTGGCTCCGACTTTGCTGGACTGTAGGAAGGGACCCAATTCGGGCACAGCTGGCCTGCATGAAACCCAGTACTGTCAGTGACCATAAACCTTAGGGAAACAACACGCCAGGTTAATTTAACAGAACACAATTGTATACAGGGGTGGAAGGATGAACTTGGAATCAAAAACATATCAGATAACAGGACTACTCTAAGCTCGTATTTCTAAACCACGGTGTACCTAATCAAGAATGTAATTTCAATTTTGCACAACCCATCCCTGTTATTTCCAAATTTGCCTTCTCTGTAAAATAAACTCGACAAGCTGCTGGAAGTACATAGAAGAGAAGCAGTCAGCCTGAGCAGTATTGGCTGCATCTTGTTCAGATTTTGGGGTTTTTTTGGTTTGGGGTTTGGGTTTTTTTTTTTTTTTTGAGATCTTTTACAGAAATGGAGCACTGAGACATAAAATGGGCATTACTGAGAATTATTAAATAGTGAAATAGAGGAACTGATGTCAAATGACCATCTGAGAAATACAGGTGCATCACATTTTGGAGATTTCAGTGCCATATTGCCTTTTTCAGTTCAATCATTTTCTAAATATATTTATAACTCCCAATTCTTGTTGTGTTATGCCATATACATCCTTGTCATGAGAGATAAAGCTCCATCCGATAACAGATGCAATATGTATCGAAAGCACTTCTGCTTTTGCAAATCTTTTGCCTTCAAAGGATGATTTCTGCCTTCTAAAAATTCATTTTTATATAAAACAACTAAGTGGAACCTTCCAACTATTTATATTTTTTACTGCCCCCATTTCATGGGTAAGAGAATGAAGACAGTATGGTTAAATGATCTGCTCAAAGTCATACAGGAAGCCTCCAGTTTCCTCAAACCCTGTACTGCCTTCAACTTCTGCAAACTCGTTTCCTTTACTTTACAATCTTCTTAAACAGCAAATGTCTTTTAGCTCTTTTTTCCTCCCCTCGAAAAAAAATTTAGCAAAAATAACTTTTAGATCAACTCTTCTTTAATAAGGTTTCAAGATACAAGTTCTAATTTAAAGATAAGAATTTTTTAATCAAATTAAATAATTGGTTATCCTACACCTGATGATTCAGCAAACAGGAACATGACAAATTATTTAGCAAATCATATAGCAAACTACCATTTAATCACACACATTTCAGCAGCACAGAGTGATAAATTTAGAACAGTTGACACAACACAGAATATTCCCCCCCTACCTCCCCCCCAACTGAATGCCCAAACTAATGCACCCTAATCAGGCTTTCTATTTAAAAAAACTTGATTATGAGTAAGATATCAAATTAATTAATCACGCTTCAAGCATGCCAGTAAGACATTTGCAGCAGCAGTGTTGGTTGTTCAAATGCCATGATTTCCTCCAGATTTTTCGGCCATATCCCCAGCATTCGAAGCACACATTAAAAACATGGTAAAGTGAAAGTTTTGGTTTTATTAGTGTTCATTACTTGACCTCCCTAAATCACCTTTTAATCTATAGTTTGGAGTCTTAGGCTAGCAATCACCATGCCAACTTTAAGATTTCCTTGAAAAATATTTTTATCCAAGCATTAGACCTACTAAATAGCTTAAAACATAGCAGGATTACCCAAACTCAAACCATACTGGCTACATGACCACCGCTGTCCCTTTTCCCTGTGTGTTAAAGCACCACGCAGTTAGGACATGGCAGGATGCTCTGAACCGTCCATAACTGGCCATGTTTTGACTGGATGTCTCCATCCATGCTAGGCGCACAGGATAAGACCCGATAATCCAGGTTTTAGGCGATCTCATGAGTGTTGTTAAGACTTGAGAGATTTTCAGCACAGTATTAAGTTCCTTATTTGAAGCCGTGGATCAGATCAACTTTTTAAAAAGCGTTCATTATATTCCAAAAACTGCCAGCTCAAGGAATACTCAGCTACAGTAAAGGAAGAAGAGTTTTGGGAAGAGCAGGAAATCCACATAAAGACACACTGTATGCATGAGTCTTTTCCTTTCTAAATCAAGTCATACCAAGCGGTGTGCTCTCCTCATTACCGTGCTGACTGTGTTTGTAACAGCTGGGGAGAAATCCTGGCTGCTGCGCAATCAAAGACAAAACTCTCATTGACTTTTGTTAGGCTCAGATTTCACCCATGTTGATCAAAACACTGGGAGCAGCGACCAAGCTACCTACAACACAGTGCCTGTTACTGCCAGCACTATTACAACAAATAGCAGTGGGATATTTTTGCAAAATTTTCTTGGTACGCGAGAGGGTTTACATAGCCACACAGTTCAGAGAGCAGACAACAAAAGCTTGTTAGAAGATGCCTCTTAATCTTCCTTCTGACCTTTTGTGACGAGTAGTAGAAAAGCAAGATGTAGCTAAAAGCATCTTATGAAGGACAATACAGCTCAATAATTTTGCTGAGGAATTCCAGGGCAATTTTAAATGAAAGAATTGCCTGAAACATGTAGACTACCAGCATGACAATAGGGCTGCTTATGCTGTATCAAAACTGACCACGTGAAACATTTCAAGAAAGGCTGTAACAAGACAGCCTTGTTTTTCTTAAGGAAGTAAACAGTAATCGATTACATGGTTAAACTTTAAAATGTGCACATCTACAGTCTGTTTATATCAGAAATAGTCAGGAAAATAATCTTAGTTCATTTATAGGCATAGCGCATGGTTCCTTTGACAACATCCCATTTAAGAATTTTCAAAAAAGTGATATATGACAATGCTGCTTCATTCTCTT